CTGGCCAATTTTTACGATAAACTTCTTTCTAATTTGTATAGTATGTGTATCAGATCGTTGTAGTCATTCATGTGTCAAGTAAATAATAAAATATTAATGTAGGGCCTCAAAATAAATCCTTAAACACGGGCCTCATAGTTCATAATCACTATATATATATATGTAGCTGATATATATAATATATTGAAAACATATATATAATTCGGACTTTCTATCCTTCAACCTATGACCTTTTATAAAATGTTCTATGTACTGTAATATTGTCACCCGTATCTCACAACACACATAATCGTACCTTCCACACTGTTGTCCCCGTTTATCATTAATAACCGCACTTTTAACTCTCTAACATTCTTTTAAACTTAAGCGAAACCTATTACTAGATCTAAATGAATTTACCTTTTATTTATATTAAGTTTATCATCAATCAAATGTAAATAATAATTTACGAACAATTTACAACATACGTGGCAGTTAGATGATTATTAATATTCAACTTTCGTAGTATTTTGTGCAACAATCCCGGAGTCTTTTATTAATTTATATCAATTTTATGTTTTTTAAGGATCCGTATTCGCGGCATACACATCATTTGGCATTGATTCTGCGTATATAATCACCGCATCAGTCATGTCAGCTCCGACCGCGTTAAGTTTTTCCAAGTTGATTTTCCCAGAAACACAAAAATCTAAGAACAACGTTGAAGAAATCGCTTCTAAAAAGTACGTTTATAATATAGTGGGTGTATATACTTTATCCGAAAGAGTTTTAAAAATGTATTCTAAGATAATTCTAAAAAAAACTACTCGAAAACTTTTCGAATTAAGTTAATAAAAAAAAATGTTTCATTTTCATTGTAAAAAAAAATGATTCCGCTTGCCTCACATAANGTTGATTTTCCCGGAAACACAAAAATCGAAGAACAACGTTGAAGAAATCGCTTCTAAAAAGTACGCTTATAATATAGAGGGTGTATATATTTTATCTGAAAGAGTTTTAAAAATGTATACTACGAAAACTCTAAAAAAAACTACTCGAAAACTTTTCGAATTAAGTTAATAAAAAAAAATTTTTCATTTTCATTGTAAAAAAAAATAGTTCCGCTTGCCTCACATAAGGTCCACTTAATATATTTTAGTACATTCACACACTACCACAACTATTGGTTTTACAATACGCAGATTGCCCACTAAATGTTAATATTTGGCCATATTCTCTAAGCTAAAGCCAAATATCCATATACCATCGGCTAGTAGTGGTAGGGTCATTAATTTTAAATGGGTATTAGTTTAAGTTAACATTTA